GGGGGGGTCTTCGACCTGAAAAATCAGGGGTTAGGATTTGCACCCGGTCGAAAGAAACCTTGCTATCGCAAGAGTAACTCCAGCTAGCTTCGCTAGCTTTCGTGACTAGCGCAGACCGGAGACCTATCTGAAGGACCTCAGAGACCTTTCTGGAGCCTTCAGGTGAGCTGTGCCCCAAAGCGTCCGAAGGTGATCCCGGATATGAACCAGCTGGAATTCCGGTGTGTGCGATGCAACAACCGGCCGGTTCTTAAGGCTTTAAGGGTCCTATCCAGCCAGAGCAACATGTGGTCGGCGAACCTCCAGAGGTGAAAGGCCAAAGAAGAGCAGGAGCTCTCATCGTCACCAATACTATATATATATAGTTAAGCGGTGTGTAAATAATGTTTTGTTTTGTTAGTTATATTGCTTTATTTGATCTTAAAATCTATTGGCTAACAATGCACTATAGTATTTCATATGAAACTAACATAACATATCTTAAATATACCATATGTGCTTTTGAAATAAACATCTATATCGCCGTCAAGACCATGTTTGCTGAAACCTTCGGCTGACTATCTGTTGTTCGCTCTTTTCATTTCATGACATCGTTTACTGCATACCCCTATCAAGCCAACAAACTGTGCCAAATCCCAAAAACATCCAAAAACAGTTGATTTGCATTCTATCCTGCCCTTGTCATGGGTTGCGCACTCCTAAGGATCTTAGGCTTTTCGGGATTGTCTCGCTGTCGGACCGGCCTGATGCTGCATAATCTGCTTCAAGACATCTTCACAGGTGATCAGGTTCCTGAAGCCGATTGCTTCTTCAAAGAACGACCGTGGCTAATCCCACTGTTCCAACAAATGGAGAGAGACAGATCCTACCCCTAACACCCTCAGGCTGCCCCCCAGCAAATGCCAGCCAGCCAGTGAAAAGAAAAATCGACAAATACCAAACGATCTGCCAACCACAGCTTGGAAGGAACTAAAATGTTTGAAACGGTTTTCTCACTGAGAATCCCGGCCTTGGTTGACCACGTCTAAGATTCTTAAACACAACGTTGATGGACGATGGATACCTTTTGGAGAATTCCACCGCATGTAAGATGAATCAACTATCCAAAATGGCCAAAACCACATGTCCACCCCCCATCAACAGTTGGCGACGGCCGCGGCACCGCTGCAAACCACCTCTGCCTACCCAAGAAACCATTCGGCCATTCAGACCCGTTCGGGCTCCAGTTGTACCTTCGTTTCGAACGTGGGACTGGGGTGGGTGGACGCCAGGAGGCTCCAAATACCTTGTCAGGTATGCGCTTGGAACCCTAGCAAAAAGTGCCTGCATGCACAACTACTGGTCCAAGGTTTTTCCGCCTGTAGAGTTTTGCCAAGAGTCCGCCGAAAATCCACCTCGGCACGGTGCAAGGTCTCCTGATTAACAAGCCCTCCACATGAAGAAGGTCTCCAACTCATGTCCAATTCATCTGAGGGGCTTATTACCCAAGAGGCCCTACTAAAAAGCGCTGCCCGGTTGAAAAAACATGTCGGAGTCGGAGGCCCTTAAATACGGCTTATGGTGGTTTTTAAATTAACTCCAATTAAAACCGCTACTAAAATCCCTGTTGGCACTCAAACTGGGCACATGGGTTGTCAGCCAAAAAATGGGATGGAAACCTAGGAACCAACCTGAAAAAGCAGCTGGCTGGAACCTGGGATTGGCCCCACGGAACAATGACACCCAACGATGAGCTCTCACGCCAACGTCTCCCGGCACACCGTGAACAAATCTGGGCAAAATTGAAAACATCGAACATGTTTCCTCGACCCGTCTGACGAATTGAAGGACAAAGACCGAAGAAAGGCAACACACCTGTGCAAAATGTTTGCCCTCGCATCGCGACACTTCACACGATTCCAGCCGGATATGCTTCAGTATATCTGCAGCTCCGGGAGCATCACAACATTCACATTCACCTAATTACGCATCCTTCTTCGCTGCTTGGGAAACGCTATCGTGAGTTCCCTCCAGGATCTCTTCCAGAAGATTAAAAAAAAGAAGAATCCTGAGCGGGCAGGAATGGGCAAGGCATGTCCAAATTCCAGGACTTCCAGGACAACAAATCAAAGATAATTTCTTTCTTAAAGCAGACTTCCAGGAGGCGTTTCCCAGCTACAGTAGAAGCTGCGGGTTTCCAACCTCAAACATCGTGCAATTGGGCCAGACGCAGGCCCAAAAGAACGCAGGTTTGCGTTTGGCAAGCTGCCTCGCCAGCCACTGCCGGCTCGGGAATATTTGCCTCGCCCTGCAGGACATCTCTTAGGCGCCCAATCTCTGCGATTGCTTGCGCTTGCGCTTGTTCGTTGTCCACCAGCTCCTGTGTCGGAATCAGGGTCAGGGTCGACCAAACCCAACAAAGTGGGTGCCTCATCCTGCATATCCTGCGACTCATTGGGCTTGTGGTCCATCCGAGCCTCCGATGTCGACGCGCACACTGTACACCAGAGGCCCGTGCGGACAGGTTGTGAGTCGCACACACTGCGCAAAAAAAGGGGTGAAAACTTGCAGGGTGAGGTGTTGAAAGTATTCCGCGTCAATGACTTCAAGGGTTTAGCTTTGCGTAGCCTCCGGCAGTGATACCCACGGCCACAGCCGGTCCTTCAGCATGCAGTGATTCATTCTTCGGCTCGCCTTTCCCCTAGTACGCGCGTAAAAAGTAATCTGAGGGCTTCTCCAACTCATGGCAAGTCTGCGTGCAAAAGGATGTGAATGAAAACCTGCGGCTTTAGGACTGGACATAAGTGACATGTGAATCACACACATTGGGCCATTGCGCCAAAACAATTGATGAAAACTTGTGGGGTGAGCTGTCGAGGGTACTCTGTGTCAAAAACTTCAAGGGTGAAAAGCTTACTGCTTTAGCTTTGCAGCCCACAACGAACACCACACAGCTCTGCGGGAGCCAGAACATGTTCTTATTTTTCTTGCGCGGGGGTTCCCCGTGCTCTCTTGCTGGCCGGCCAGGACCCACAAAGACTTTCTCTCTCTCTCCCTCTTTCCTTTTTGTGCCTCTTACTGTGGGGAACCGTCCTCCCTTGCTTTTGTGTCTGGTGGGGCCTTGCTCCGCCAGACCGGCCAGGACCCCAATTCTCGCGAAGGACCCGCGGCCTTTCCTCCCAGCGCAGCAGGGCAGCTACTGGAAGCATCTCCATTGGCGTTAAAAGAAATTGAATTTTGGATTGATTAAGAGAGGTATAGGGAACGCTCTGTCCATCTACTTTTCGGCAGTTCATTGACTAGATCTACATCAGCCTGTGACCAGCCGCATGGTGTTCATCCGGCCAACCCTTGTGGGACCTGTTACTGTGGGCTGGCCAGCCCGGTTTAGGAGTGCTGAAAACCCACTGGAAGGCCTGCGGGCCTGCATGGTGTGAAACCAAGGACAATGGTCCAGTAAGAAAGACCTTGGCAACCATATGACAAGGCAGGTTCTTGGTATTCTTCACAACTGCAGTTTAAAAAGTTAGATAGTTCTCCCAGTAAGCGGTGGTTTCAAGCTGTTGCCCGACCACATTCCAGAACGTCCAGTCCTTCACAGCCCTTCGCCCTGGCCCTGGCCCTTCTTTCTCTCCAAAGGCACGCCATCTGGCAAGGTGGAGCCCAAGTCGGGGGGCAAAAACCGGGTGTACTCGTCTCGATCGGGATCGGTGAGAGCACCGATCTCAATGATAATGTTCCTTAGTGCAGCCAACGGGTAGGTCACTTTTGTTCTGTGACGATTGGGTTTTCTGTTTGCGAGTGTATGCAGCGATCCATGCTTTGGCCAAAGAGGTCAAAGCTGGTATATACCCCATGGCCCCAAGGTGAAGAGCCTACCACCGACATGTACGAGAGGTGTTTTGGATGTGTTCGGTCCCTGTCATGATTCGTCTCACCGTGAATCTTTGCCAACTAGATACATCCAACAGATTGAATCCATTTGAACTCCAGAATCTTCACAAGCTATCCATCTTGGGGAGGATAATTGCTGCATTCAGCATTCATCAACATTAATTAATCATCCGCGCTTCCGCAAGTTCGAGATCCAGGTTTCACATTTTGCTGGTTGCGCGGCGTCTTACCTCGTCCATGCGCTGAAGCCATTACTCGGCCAAGCCACCCAACTCGCTCATCCTCTCCAGTGATGCCTGCATCCAGACCATGCCGGAGGTCCGATCCCAGTGAAAAGGAGGACTCACCTGCCCAAACTCAAAGGATTTGAACCGACCAGTTCCCCCAACGGACCTGAACCGACGACAAGCCCACACCACCGACCGTCGAGGAGGACCGAATCCTCCCCTCAACCCGCACCCGCGCTCCGCCCAGTCCCGAGGATTCGTCCCGTGGTCCTCCGTTCGTGCGGCCGGTCCCTTCGTGCGGCCGCGCCTTCGGAGATCTGCGGGTTCCGCCGGAAGGCTTGCAGCATGGCGCGCCACTGGGCCTCCGTCTCGGAGGTCGCCTTCTGCTCCTTGGGACGAGTGGGATGGCGGTCTGGCTCGAGGGTTGGACAATGAGAAGCGAGTGGATCGAGAAGGGTGATGGTTTTTTGGAAATCGGTCATTTTTTGAAAGTGTAAGACCTTGACATGAAGAACTTCTGCAGTCTAAATGATTGTATGAGCCTATAAGGAGGGGCAGGAAGGTAAGGGCCAGTGCCTCAGGTGGTGCGTTTTTGTTGGTGCTTTTCCGAGCTGCCACCTCCACGTGGGTGGACATGGCATGGATCTCTTTGCTGGCATCTTCACCAGAGGTAATCTGCAGCACACGTGTTCCTGAGAGGATCACAAAGGAAGACCAGCACAGAGCAGCCCGGGTGGCCCCGAACCATGTGACCGACGACGTGACCGGTGACCGACTAGTCCGACCGGGTCCTCAAATCGGATTTGAGACTGACCGCTCGAGGATGGTCCGACCGGTCCATGAGCGTTTGGGTATAGGTCTAGTCTAGGTCTAGTAGGTCATAGTGGAAGGTGGGCTTGTGTGTAAAAGTGCCCTTGGTACAACATCTCCCCAGGAACTGACAAGTGGTCTCACGCAGTGCAAAAGAAGCGACCTTGCCTGCGATGTTGAGCAAGTCGGCTTCTTCCTGCCAGGTTCTGAAAGCCAGCTGCTTGACTCCTTTCAAAGACTCCTTGGATCTAAACCCACGATCAAGAACTGTAGGATTGAAATCATGACCCTCTTACTTTAAGCAATTTGTCTTGATGATAGACCGCAGCAATCTGCAACACCAGCTGCACCATCTGCCAGGTTGCCAAAACCCAAACCACGGATGTCACGTTCGAAAAAGGGGAGCCATCGATGCGACCCCATTCTGATGCCCAGAGACTCTCTCACCGATCAGGTGCTCTCCTCAGCGATGCTCCAGCGCTTGGCGTTGGAGGACTTCTTGTACATCACGGACGCCTCGCCCGGCGGGCGAACGGCCCAGAAAACGTGTGGACGGCTTCGGGCTGTGAGAGGGGGAAAAAAACACCCTTCTCTCTAGTTCTAAGGGTTGGAGACGGACCATCTCAACTTCGATCCCGAGATATAACAAAGTGTAGGGCAAAGTGTAGGGACCCTTTTGGAAGTCACAAAAAAAGGAGGCGGTCTTCACCTACCTCGTGTTGGGAGGTTTTCAGTGTCTTGCTTGGACTCATCAGCTCATCTTCCAGATTCATCCAGAAGTGGCCAAACCCTTGTTTGGTCGTCATCACTTTGGTCCGTCGACTTGAGAAAGCTACACAGCCAGCTACAAAGACCCAACTCTGATCAGGCAGGTCTTTGCTTTTGAGTTGTGAGCATGATGAGCATGTAAGAGTTGCCGAGTTTGCTGAAGCCTGGCTAGGGGCTTGAGAAATTGAGACACTTTACCTCTCAATTGTTCATCGTGTCCCTTGACCTTGGACGCCTCACGACCTCTCAACACTCTGCTCACATGGCTTTCCTGAAAAACAACTGACCTCAAACGCACCCCCCCCTCTGTTTTACCTGGCAACTTGAAAAGTGTCCATCCAAACAAGACATGTTGCAAACGATGTGGCGCACAACTCCCGCCCAGCATGGCCTGCATCTGCATCACACGCCCAAAGTACGCATAGTAGTCGGTGGCCAGGCCCAACATGCCCTAGCGCGAAGAACGAATTCAAAACATTGGCTTCCCCAGGTGATGGGTCAACCACCTCCCGATGACCCCTGAAATTACTTCATGTCCCCCCCAGTTCTCCCATGGCCCTGTCCCCCCCGTTCGACGAAAACGTCTCACCTCCCCGTCTCTTTGGACCGCTGGCGGAATTCGGTCGTTCAGCCTCTGTGGCGTCGGACTCGCACACGGGAGTGTAGCAGAAGCTGAAGAAGGCGTCGATGCAAAGCAAGAGATTTCCTTCGGGCCGAACGGGACCCGGTTGGCGGGCAGATGGTGAACAATCACCGGTTTTCCGGCGCGGGGAACGGCGGTTTCTGCGGTTCTGCGGGGCGAAAATAGGAGAGGTGTTAAAGGCATTTAAATGCAAAGGGGGGGATTGAAATCATATGTTTGTCATATGATGTCCAAAGCTTTCGAGGGTGTGTGTGTGTGTGACAGTGCTGTAAGAACCTTGCGGGCTTCTAATGTCGCGCCCAAAGTCTACCCGCCATCCATGAAAGGGCCATCTGCGACACCAAAAGCCCAGGCCTTAGCCGCCATGGCCGTCCCCCACAGACCACCAGACCACCATACCACTCAACATCGCCCAGGGGCGGAAATAAACGACCTCCTCCACTTCCGGTCCACCCAAGCGTGGGGGCGCTTCCAGGGATGCCTTGGCAGCGCTTGGGAGCACCCTTTGGAGGAAGGATGCCGGGCCCCACGAGATGGGCGGTAGAATGTGGTCGAAGGATAGACAGCTGCTGGTGATTGGCCTGCAACAAGGACTCCGGCGGATTGGAACAGAACCTCTAGAAACATGCCACACACATGTGGCCCTCACCAGAGGCTCGGGGGGTCCTAAATCGGATCCTACTTGATCATTGATCCGATCTCCGCTTCATTGGTCGGTCTCCGCTTCTTCCACCCAGCTGCGCGCGTCCAGTCCAGGAGAGCCCGGACGAACTCCACATGCAGCGGGCTAGACAGCAAGATGATGTCTCGGAGGTTCACGTCCACATCATACGTCAGGTGGCGCACCAACTCCTTTGGATTGGCTCGGGCGAGACCCTGGGGGAGGTTCTTGTTCTTGTGCTGTGCGCTGGATCGGGGGTCGTTCTCGTGCATATGACGCTGCATGGTCCGAGGGGGGAACCTGGGGGAGGTTCTTGCACCTCACAAGATTTGGTATGAGTGTGGATGATCATTTTGGGGTCAACATGGATCTACTGGTCAACATGATTCGCTGAAATGACCAGATCACCAGAAGTGGACGGTAAACCATGCTCGCATTTGAACCGTAGACGGTTCCAGATTCACCCGGCGACCACCCTTCAGCCCGGGGCGTCCACGACCGCCTGGCCGGGGCCTACCCAAGAAAAACACGGCGGGAACGACGAGCGAATGGTGTCGTCGAACACGAGTGGAATAAAACCCCATTATGTCCTTGGACTCTTTGACGTGCAACATCTATATGCCAAGAGAAGAATCCTTGATCATGCTTCACAAAATGTTCATCGTGAAACGATTATTGTTATCCCGCCCACCCCCCACCCACCCGCGGATTGAAGAGTGAAGTTATATATCTTAGGTGGTGTCGAAGTTGAAAGTACATCCTCATGTACAGTAGCTGAATCCTACTGAACCTTACTCACAAACTAACTTGAACATAGGTTACCCCACTATCATCCATCCTCTGTCATCCTCTATCCGACTCTATCCCAGGTCTATCATCTTCACCTGGACTGACGACCGACGCCGACCCGACCCAGGGCTCCAGCCATTGGGAGGCCATCGTCAGGTGTGCCACGGCGATGGGGCTCAGCGGCAGGTCCCGCGGGCGGCACTCGCGCGTGGTGGAGGTGCGCAGCAAGTTGCGGATCGCCGAGGTCGGATGGATCAATCCTCAGGCTGAGTGCAGGTCGGAGGGATCAATCGCCCCGATTCCAGATGATCTTTTTGCGGGAGGTCTTTGGTTCCCTCCTTGCTTGGTATATAAGAACCAGTCAGAATCGGAGTTTCAGACTCAGACACGGCCTTCCAAATCCTCCTCATGACTTTCATGACGTCTAAATGATAGAGCCTGGGGAGATCGGAGCACAGAGGAGCTTCACAGCGGACGTCATCAGTCCATCTGGAAGACTGAAAAAAGAAAAACTATCTAGAATCTAGAATGGTACAAATCAGGTAATTCAGTGCTCCCTGAGGTCTGGCAGAACAGCCTGGGCCTCCCTAATTAGTGCCTTGCCAGGAGCGACCGTCGCTCGCTGGCTGTCCCTCCGTGCTCACGCGGGCGGACGTCCATCGGACCCGAGTGTCCAGACACGAAGGGCTTGGTGATCAAGCTGTGGCTCCCACGTCCACGCGCGATGCCCCCCAGAAGCTCCAGGGATTTTAAGTAGTAGACCAGCTCCTGAGCAAGTCTGACTGGTCCGAGCTCACAACCACAGGAGGGAATGACACCCCACTCAATCGATACCTTCGGAGAGCTGCGATAAGCAAACAGATGGGCAAAGACGCATCTGACGCATCAGTCGTGGCGCCGTCCGGGTCTTGGTGCCCCTGTTTCGATCCGACTTGAGTCGACCCTCCCTGGGCTCCCTCTAACAACCATGGAAGCTGAAGAAAAGGACCCCCAACTGACTGGTGCTTAGTAGGGAATGAGGGAATGAATCCAAAGGAATCTCTATTGGGGCTCATTCCCTCATTCCCTACTAAGCACCAGTCAGCCAAGCATAATCGATGAGAATTTCATGGTCCAAACCAGGGGCCGACGATGTTCCTGTTCGATGTCACCATGATTGCAAAGACATCCGTAGGGCATGAGGTCCACAATGGGTCACGGTACATGTTTCAATGTCAACATGTCCCATGCACTGGCACTAGGACTACCCCTGGTGACCCATTTTCTAGAACCGGGGGTTCCTTGCAGATTCCCAGATGGATCTAGGAATCCCAAATCATGGAATGCTGGATAATGCTGGGTGCGCAGCGGCAAGGATTCTGCGCCACGGCACCTGGTCGTTCTCATTCAGCTCGCTGGTGTCCTCCAGCATAACAAGGGAATCAGTCCCAAATCCAACAAAACAGCTGTGTGTGATGAATCAAATTTGACAGTAGTCTAGCATGGCAAAACCATTTGGGCCTTGGGTAGGACTTGAGTTGCAGGATGCTCCACATTGGATCCCCCTTCTACAACTAACCATCGTAACCATACCTCACCAACGAGCCCTTTTAGTGCCAACAAGTCAGCACATGTCAACACATCATCTGCCGAACACGGCTTGTCTGGGACCGGCATATTTACATATAGTGGATTGAGAGTAGATGGCACAATCCCCAAGTTTGGTTGTTTATATGGACCCCCATCTAAAAGTGATCTTGGGGATCGAACCTCTGAAACCACTCTACAGTTGGGTGGGTTGATTTCAGGGTCAATGGAAGTAACATGAGGTAATACCTCGTGTCGTCGGTGTATCAATACGCCATACAGTCTGGGAGGTTGACGAGGCCCTGAGAGGACCGCCCTAGAGGCCCTCAGTCCAGGAACTAGCCACGCCGTCGTTGCACAAACATCACACCATGGACCATGACCCTTTTTCCCGAGGTTAGAGTTGCCAACCCCCAGGCACTTTGGCAAGAGGTATCACAAAATGATCATCATCACTGTCTACTTGGGAAACATTTCTGTTCTTGTTGCAGTGCCTGACCAGCTTACAAAAGCCAGCACTAGCTTCAGATCAGGTTCTACTGGTCATCCGCCGGCATGTTTTCTATCTCTATTCTCTCTGCTAAACATTGCGTGCAACCTGAACCAAAAGCCCATCTCAAAAAGAGAACTCTGATCACACCCACAACGTGACAAACCCGTGCGGAACCGTCTACCTCACACCGGACGTCTCACCCAGCCTCCCCTCTCAAGACCGACTTGGACTTGAAGTGCCGAGCCAAATCTAAGGCGTGCTCCAGCTCGCTGCTGCTGCGCAGCAAGTAGAGCATCCTGACCCAGCTTTGGGTGGAGCAAACGAGAGAGCAATGGATTATGTGTATCCCCCAGTGACGTATTTGTCTGCTAACACCACGAACACCCTGCGCAGCCAGTGCCAGTACTACTAGGGCCTTCCCAGAGCTCGCTTTTTCCTCACTGGCACACTGTCTGACATCAAAACTCAACCTCTTGAGGCCTTCCAAACCGAAATGCACTGAACATGTTTCAATCCGTGAAATTCCCAACACCCCCCTCACACGCATCTAATGATAGATATATACATATATGTATATATATATATATACATCCCTGCATCCCCTTTTGGTCACACTCCACCCCACCCGGATTCTCTCGAACCCGCACTCCTCTCGGGCCGGCCGCGCTGCAACGCCTCCACAACTGGCACCTGGTTGCGGACCACCGGCTTGTTGCCCGCGGAGACCTGTCCGTCGCGTCGCACAAACCGCTCCGCGCGGTTTGTGCTCATGGGAAGCATGGCCATGGGATAGACCGCCACAAGTGGTGTGATGTGGTCTGAGTCGTAGTGACGTCATCATCGGACAAAAGCGGAAATCACGACATGGGATTTCATCATATTTTATCTAACGGTCCCAACCAGCTAGGGAGATCTCCTGCTTGAGCCCCCAGCATGAGCCCCCTAAGTATCCGCTCTCTTCTGCCGGGGAAACTGGTCGATGACCCTCTCGACCTGAACAAACCTCTCGACCTGAACGACCTGTCTTCTGCCCAGGGGGCAATGGCCATGTAGAAGTCGATGTAACAGGAGACGAAGCTACCGGAGGAGCGTTCCCGCAAGATGAGCTCTGAGAACTGGTCAATGAGATCCTCCGGCACCTCGAGTCTAGCTCGGCAGCTCGGCAGCACCGGGAGGTCAGCTCGGCAGCTCGGCGGTCGAGACCGGTCGAACAAGAACATGGGATGAACATGAATGAATGCGGGTGCTTAATCCAAAGACATGGCATATGTGTCGCGTTATCATGGTTAATTAATGTTAATTATATAACTTTGCTGGGCCTGGGGAAGAACTCGATGTATATAAGGGATCTATGCATATTTAAATATATATATATCATATCATATCATATCATATCATATATATATATATCAATATCTCGACATTGAGCGGGAACAACCCTTTTGATTCTGAAAGGTCCTGACGTTTCCCCAACGTCAGGTCTTGTCCGGCCCCTCGGCTCAAAGCCAGCATCAAATATAAATAACTACCAGGAGTCACAAGACGGGGTGTTTAGTCCCCAAGTGAGTGGATGTGACAGGGGCACCCCGACTTCCTCCATGGATAGCACCCCTTTGTGACTGCTGGTATATAAAATAGTTTAATGAATGATACACATGGCATGCTTGGAATTCCCGCCTACTCCCAATCTAACACTGGCTGACGCCTTTCCGCCACAAAAGTGCACCATGTCGCCATGTGGATAGAAAAAAGCATTGCCCAAATCTCGACATCTTCACTCTGTCTAAACAACAGGCCTTTTCAGATGGGAAACGGCTCAATGACTCAACTTAGCTATTTAAGTGCGCATGCGCACCATCCAAACATCCGGACCCAAACTCTGCAACCGGTCATCCCACCATGTTCTGCATCCCGGGTGCAGGACTTCGTCACAAAAACAACTCCATGGATGTTCAAAGCCATGGCGCACGGCGGCAGATTTCGAAGTTCCCCTTGAAGATCTCCGCCAGGAGCAACGCGCACTCCGGCTGCTCCGCCACCAAGGTCCTTCGCCGGCCGGCCGCCGGCCGGCCGCCGACGGTGGGCGGGGTCGAACGCACCGCGTTAGAAGGAGGATCTGGGCGGTTTGGCAAATTGGCAGGAGAGTGGTTCTTGCTTGGTTTAGGATTGGGCCTAAATGGCCGGGAGTATGGTGCAATCAAAGAGTGTGCGAGGATAGCTCCAAAAGAGGATAGCCAGTCAAAGGAAGCGACCCCGACGATCCTGATGTTTGAACACTTTACCTTGTTCTTCTAAGTGACCGTTCAATCGCCTGGTTTCGAAGGGACTCCAAAGAGGAGCAGTATGGATCAGTTCTTGACCGTCGCACCCAAATTCTCGGTGCGAAACAGGTCGCGGCGGTGATCCGCTTCAGTTCCTCCCCAAAGGCCACCCTGAACCCAAAAGTCTGGAGGGATCCGACCCGAATGCTGAACGGTTCTGAGGGTCTGTAATCCCTAGGTTTTGAGGGACCAAGGGCGGTCTGGACAAAGATCAGGCTTCTCAACAGTCATGTCTTCCTCTTTTTTGCCTCGATCTGCATCAACCACCGGACAGGGATTGCATGTGGGATTGATGCCCGTGTCCTCATGGCATCCACTGACCTGTAGGCTTGCATCTGGTTCTTGCCTTAGATCACACGTGGAGAAACTGGCACACTCAAATCCCACAGCTCTGAATTGACCGGATCTTGGCACTGAATGAGGCAACCAATGTCACATGTCACTTGTCGATGAAACGGGGTCACTTGTCGATGTCTTTGGGCCATGGCCTCGTGGAACTTGGAAGCCCTCAAACGGGAATGCAAACATGCTCTCGAACCACCTGCAGGGCTACTCATCCCCCCGGGAAAAAACAAAAACACCGCATCACACCGCACTATAGCGCCAGTTCTACAACACTATACATGGCATCCCCCAAAAAGAATCAAAAAAAACACACCTGAATCCATCGAACATCTCCGAATCATTTCTTGGACCGGTCTGCCGGAGAAAACCCCCTTCAGGAAGATCGGTCTCGGAAGCAATTGCGGGTGGCCCTCGAACCACAATCGCCCCACCACTTTTGAGCCACGCTAAATCAGCTCCCCTACCCCAAGCACCCACGCACACCCACGAGCACCCAGCGACTGTTGTTGGCCACGGCTTTCACTGCACAGTGGCACATCTGGCTGATGACCGTCTTCACCAAAACCTGCTGGCACTCACGAGAACCACGAGGGGGATGACGAAGGGCTTGCAGCTGTGCCATGTCTCCCGCCCGCCACTCCCAAAGAAGAGGCTAAATAACGGCATAATATATAATGTTTTCTGATAAATATGTCTGAAACGTGTTTTCAAATAAATCCAAGGGCTGGCGCCCCTTGAAAATTGAAAATCTCCAGGGATACGGGATAAGAAATAATATAACAACTAGATACAATCAGGCAATATATATGACAATATAGAGAGAGAGAGAGAGAAACAATAATACAATAATGCCATCTTTTCCGATGAAGACTTGCTCCCGTGTCCTTTCCTTCTCACCGGGCCTCTCACCCGACCCATCTGTTCTTCGCACCTCGACAGCCTCCGCACGTCCGCGCGTCTGAGCCACCCATCCACCGACCCACCGACCCGCCTCGGAGCTGGGAGGGAAGTCGTACATGTTCATCTTGAGGGTATAGTCCACGTGTGAGAAGAACTCCGTCTCCTAGGAGCGAAAACCAATGGCTTGGGAGAAGAACTGGACGAACCCACACCGGACGAACCTGTGCGTCGTTCCAGGATGACTCGTACTCGACTCGACGACCGACGGGTCCGCGTGTTTCGCGTTGGGGTCGCCGATGGTCGAGGAGCGACGAAACGGCTGTGTGGGTCGACCTGGTCTTCTCCCCCGGTTCCGGGGCGATCGAATGGCCTGCCGTCAAACCATCAAACCGAAAATGGCCAGTCGTTGGATCACTATGAGACATGAATCATTACGTGAATGACACAGTGATGAGTTTCACTGATAATAGTGATAAGTGATGAGCTCTGTCAGGGAGCGGATGAAACTCCGTTTGTCCTCACTTTGTCTTGAGCTTCGGGTCACCTTTATATACGCATCACCAGACCTCCAAGAGGCACTCAACCAACCTCCACTCACAAGTTCCACCGGAAAGAATGTTGAGTCCCCCCCCCCCCTCGTGGGCGCATCAAAAACGGTCACGGTGCCGAGGAGCGTGGAGCATCTTCTGAACTTCGAAGGGGCTGCTGGAAGAATCTCCGTGGACGCAAAGGTTGCGCAACTTCTTGCACAAGGAGCCTGAAAAGCGTGAAGTACAGCGTGAGGCACTGAATCCTAGACCTGTGAAATCCAGTGAAACATGTGAATTCCCTGTGCCAACAGTGGTTCTGCTGAGCGCATCACATGCCACGTGTAAACCATCAAAAACCACCCTTGGCAGGTAGAGGTCAGTTTGAGTGGAGTAATCGGTGCTTTTTCATCCTGTGAAAGTGCTGAGGCATGCTGAGGCTAGCTTTGGACGAATGGAGGGTGGAGATATGTGGAGATGGGAACCACAAGTGCGACACCAGGCTATAGCCCTTTCAGAATCCATTGGCCGCTGGGGAAATTAAATCTCGCATCTAACCGCATTCTGTTCATTTCTGTTCCATCTGGAATGAAAAAAGAGATAGTGGGGTCATTTGGGCGCACACCTCTGGATCAATGGACAGGGATTGCTCTCTGTTCTTGACATGGCCATCTGTTAGAGGTCCACCCCGGGCCCAGCTACAAAACCGTCGATGATGCCTGAACCCAGCACTCATCGAAAAAGAAAGGAAACAGAACGCAGTCAACTTCTAAGATTCTTTGGCAATGAGTTCAATTTGCTGGTTTCAAATTCTTTTTTCAATCGGTTTACTTCTCTCGAGCGACACATGATGCCTGGCGGTGAAAGCGCGCAAGTCTTAAGTTGTGAACTCCCCAAAAAATGCATACATCTGCAACAGCTTGAGGTTCGGCTTCTCATTCAGCTTCATTCAGCCGTGCGGAAATAGGTTATATAGATGAAGGAACAGCGTTCAAACCCTCTTGCTCTACAGGCTTGGACGTGGAGGCATGCTAGCATCTTGACCCCAACCCACACCGCACCCATGATCCAACCAAAGCCTGGAAACATTAGTAAAAAAACAATCAACGTGAGACGGCCAAATGGGACGGTGGCAGAAAACCTTCTTGATCCTATGGGTCGGGAGAACTCCTCCGCCCTTCCCAAAAACATTGGGATTTCTCTCGCCATTGTTTCTCCCTCCGTTCTGCACGCCCCCCGCCGCCGCCGAAAAGATGCATGCGCGCGAGGTTTCAGCTTCGCGCCGCCGATTCGTCGCCGCTTCGCCGGGGGACTGAATTGCTTCAACTTCACATGGTCCATCGTGGAAAAGTCGTCGTCCACGCCCCAGTTCTCGATGCTATAAATCCTGAGCACGTCTTCTATGGAAAGCCGGATCTACCGTTGACCCCGGCCCGGCCCGAGGCCCGGCCCGGACTATCCATGGAGTCTTCCCGAATTCAGATGCAACGCGAACCCAGTAGTGATCCACGGATCTGGCAGCGGGCGAAGTGCCCTACTAGTTGGAGAACCGAGAAAAAGCAAAGGCCTGCGACCCAGTACAGTCTGGCAGTTGTGCAGTCTTGCATGCACCATCGCCAGTGAAACGAACGAGAAGTGCAGTGAGCCAGTGAGCCACGATGACCCGAAGCAAACCCTGGTATTTTCATGTATTTTCACATCAATCGACACATCAGCCTTCTCTTCAAATGTCCGCAACGGTCCCTCCACCCCATGTCCACGTCCCGGCCCAAAACCCCCCAAACGGCCGGGGATGTGACCGGTCGACTCTGGCGGGTTCCAGTCTTCGGCCGAGCCGCAAGCGGCCCAGTGAGAAGACGTCATGCTTGAGGATCGAGAACAGCTTATCCTGCGCCGTGGTCAGCAACTCCACCTGCAGGCGAATCCGCTTCGCCCCTCCACCGCGGCGATGGCTGGAAAGCTGCGGAGCACCTTCGGTGCCTTTCTTTCGGCCTTTGTTAAGGGGCGGGGAAGGCTGGCCACCCGGAACAGCCGTGCCAGGTGGAGAAAGCCCGGCAAATGCGCCAACGCAGGATGGACAAGCGAAAGTGCGAAGAGGGCGGGACCCAGCATGCACCGATATGAGCCAATAGTGCGTCCCAGATTTTGCTGTATGAACCAAAGAGCGGAACTCCCATGAGTTCTCCTCACAATGCCCTCCACGAAGGGAAAAACATCCAAAAATGGTCTAGGAAGCTGCTGGAACCGCTGGAACCCGACTGTTCCGTTCCCATTCCGTCCCCCCCCAAAACATGCTCAAGCTACCTGTACCTGCCGGCACTCGACCCACTCGACCCAGTCGGGTCTCGTCGTAGAAGCGACCCGTCGTCGCCTTCTCGAGCAAGTTGAGCAACTCAGAGCCTTGACAACCTCAGACAGCGTGGAGTAGCGTGGGACGATCTGCGGGGCCCAGGCAGGCTCCAAGAGGGTCATGAGGACAGGCTCGAGGTTCACCATCTTTTTTTCCGCCAGTGCTCTTCAAAGATTTCGTTTGGGAGGGGAGGTGGAAAATGGGCCCTGGAGAAGTGGAAAATAGGCCCTGGAGGAGGTTGAAAATAGGCCGTGGAAGACACTGGCGGTTTCCTTTCCACCTCCACCGCGAATGACCCAGAGTGTTTTTGAATCGAAGATCCCGCCACCACGAATCTGGGTTTTGTTGAGCTTGGGGCGTCAGCTCCGTTGCATTTCTTGGACATCTGACGTTCGCGGTGTAACCCTGCGAGTGGGAGGAAACAACAAGCCACTCCCCTGCTTTCGGAATCAGTTGGAGGCCTGCTGTTCGGATCATCTGCAGAAATCGGCGAAACATAGCAAAACAAAGAGGTGCTGGCCTTATCATGAGAAGGGGGGGGCGAAAGCCAGCTGCCGCTTCATTACGTGGGTCCTCTACGTGGGCCCCTGTCTCCACTCAAGTCCTCTATGCCCATTGCCCAAATAGTCTCCAAAGCCCTTCATGATTCTCATGATGTTAATGATGCACTACTCGGCGTCCATTACATCACTCGCATCACCAGACCCCATTTTCACTGCTTTCCGGACCCTCGCTTTGGAGCGCTCTCCCCCACCAAGCTCTGGGTTCACCCTAACGACCACCCCACCCCCACACCCCCTAAACTCACTTCGTTCGCCCAAAGGCTCGAGCCTTGCCTATCAGCTGGCTTTCATAATAATCTATTATAGTATATAACCAAAAAAAATGTGCTAATATAAATATATTGTAATTACATTATGTTATATTATATATATATATATAATCCAAGGGGAGACCGTTGTGTGTGTGGCGATGCGTGACTGTGAAACTACAGTAAGATGCAAAGCGGCCTGCATGTCATCGCCATTGGCGCGGCACCTCATGGTGATTGAAAAAAACATGGACGTCCCACTGACCCGGGGGCTCCGAGCCCTACGAATGCGATCTCCTGGACCACAGGGGCTCACGGATCATGGACCACAGGGTCTCACTGCTCCTGGACCACAGGGGCCCACGGATCCTGGTAGACCTGCTTTCCTCTTGGACCCCAAGGAGGAGCTCCTCAGCCTTTGGCGCCCTCGGCGTCCGCCACCTTCACCCGCCATCCCGTGGTGAAGGTGAAGGTGAAGGTGAACCGACCCCAATGCTCCAGGCGGCAGTGCGCAAATAGGAGCTCCAAAGCCAAGGCGAAAATATCTTGAGATTCATACCTGGGCGGACGATCAAAGAGCTTCGACCCCCCCTTGGCCCTTGTCGAACTACCTTGAAGGCGAAGGAAGGGGGACTCACCTTGGCAAAAGCGAACTCAGAGATGTGTCTATATGTGTCTCTTTCCTCTACTTCAAGGGCCCTTTCTGCAGGCTTGGCCCTGGCCGGGACAAAAGAATCTTTTGCAAAAAGGCGGAAACAAAGACCATGAACCTTGTCCTTCCTCAAACATCCTTCGCAAAAGAGCTGAACAGGTCTACGAGGGGGATGTTCCGCTTTCAGGATGGTCTGGGGCTTGATCAAGAGTGCCTGGGCCTTCATGGGAACATTCTGTGGGTGCAATCGAAGTACCAGTAGCCTGAACACAGTCCCGCGATTTCGCACAAAATGAGGCAACTGTTGGTCAAAATCACCCGTCTTGTATCTACCACCACTTACCGTGCCCTTCAGCTATAAGAAACCCCCAACAAAAGAGAACTCGGGCTAGCAACATCAATTCCAAAGGTCTCCCAGGCCTTGCCGAGCTCCTTGGCCAAACGGACTTCCTGACTCGAACTCCACCCATGCGATTCAAGTGGCATCATCAGGTCGACGCACCTCAGGCAAAAAGCACCGCCTTTTGAACCGCCCGGGCCCTCCGAATAGACCCACCAGGTGCCGCGACGTGGTAGAGCAAGAAAGAACTCTATTTTACCAAAGCCTCTTTTCAGGCCAGGGGCCAGGGACACGCCATTAAAGAATGTCCAGTCATCGGGACCTGGCTGTCCCGCTGTGGTGACTAAAAAGAATGCTAAAACAAAAATCTAAAAACGGGTTGGTCTCCCTGAACCTTGGGCGAAACCTCCAAGAAGGGGTGCCGTTGGCACCATGGCAAAGACATGGGGCCCGCTCGGTAGATGACGGGTGTCGTAGCAGGTATAGTACCACAGCTACTACCACGCTCCCATTCTCCTCAGGTGAACGCTCTGGCAACCTCCGAAGCCGACCTTCCCAGCGGTGCTCGAAGGCGCTTCCGTTCGGGAGGCGAACGAACGACCTTCCCAGCATGGTCGAGCCAGCTTCGGGTGAGTCCCATCGGTCCCCATCCTGCCACCATCGTCTCACGCGGGAAACATCACCGCCAAGGTTCATCACGGCAGGCGAACGCCTCAGTGAGGTCAAAGAGCAACATGACGAACGAAAGATTGCATCGTTAGTTTGACTAGTGACTAATTTACTAAGGACTAATGACTAATATTGTTATAGTCTATAATATAGTTTAGAAAAAGCAGGTTCTTCATGGTTTTGTTCCTGCAAAGGCCAATTTGTTCAATTCAGACCTCGGCCGTTTTTCACCTCCTGCCTCCCTGACCAAACCAAAGACCGACCGGTTCTTCATGACGTCCAACTCGCCCGGGCGGCATGAAGGGTTGCTTCAAGTCGATCACGGGCTCGGCGA